ATATGTGGTCGTAGTTAACAGTTGTTGTGGTTTTATATGAGAAATATATTTCACATATTGTGTAGATTTGGTACAAACACAATGTCAGACATAATATGAAAAAGATTTTGTGAAATAACTTCTTAGAAAAGATTGACATAATTTAATTTACGTAAATTTTTGTATTAATTTATACATGATTATAATTTTAATAAAATGACTAATAATAACTAAAAATTTAATTTCACATTCTTTTATTATTATAAAAACTTATTCTTTACTCAATTAATCAATAAGACAACTAACAAACTAAATATTAAAATTGCATAATAAAGTACAGTAATATCGATTTAAAATGTTTTATTATCACTATTATACTATAATAATTATTAATTTAGAAATAATATTAAAATATTTATTTATACTAAAATTATTCTTAGGTTTATTAAATTGATAAAATTCTTATTTTTGTTAAATTTTGTTAAATAGAAAATATTGCAATAATAAATGTTTTCCTATGATATTTAATTAAAAATACTATTATATTTAGAATTTTAATTAAAAATACTATTATATTTGGAATTTTTATTTATTTTATAACACAATTTGAAAATTAATTTTAAACTACTCCAATTAAATACAGAATAAGATATATCATAATATCACTGATTTTTAAACGATTGGTTTTTTATAAACCTGGTCAACATATCCAATGTAGCCCTGGGCTGTTCAAAGGCTACGACATGTCCACCATTTCGTATAATCACTTGATAAAAGTTGTGGACAACCCTTACATAACCGGCCACTTCTGTGTCCTTATCACTCACTTTCCACACGAGTCTGTCAGCGGACTTGTATTGACTCGCTTTCGACCACTTTATGCTTTCAATGAAGTTCTCAGTGAGAGGTGGGGCTACTATTATATCCAGTTGTCCGTTGTATAACATCACCTGGACATATAAATTATATTTTGAATGGAGTTCTCACAAATAAAAATTTGGTTAATTATTACAGAATAAATATAATTTTATCGTATATTAGAATCATTTTAATAACCGAAAATTTGTTATATATTTATTAATTTTTATATTATTAGCTAATTTCATTAATGTTCATGGTAATAATTTTAATAAAATGATAATCAATATTCACTCAAGTATTATGAAATAATTTCACTCTAAATTATCATGCTAATTTATTTTGGACAACCCTTACATAACCGGCCACTTCTGTGTCCTTATCACTCACTTTCCACACGAGTCTGTCAGCGGACTTGTATTGACTCGCTTTCGACCACTTTATGCTTTGAATGAAGTTCTCAGTGAGAGGTGGGGCTACTATTATGTCCAGTTGACCATTATATAGAATAACCTTGGTGCAACATAAAAAAATTAATACCGTATGAAGTTAACTTTTTATGTTTTATAAAGTTTATTACTGACTTCAAACACAAAAGAAATGTTTTAAAAAACTATTAAATAGTATTCGTTTTGTAAAAATTTGTAAATTAGTTGTACAAGATTCATTTCTGCATGCTAAGTATAGTTACTTAATAAGCATTAATTTATGGTAAATAATTTTGATTATTGAACTAAACTACCATGGGCATAGGGGCAATATTTGTAAATAAATGATAACTACTGTACCTTATAGTCTGCGTCCATAAGTGTGGTCAGCCATGGCTTAACTGATTGCATCTCATCATTGGCTAATTTAGCGAACACTTTATTCCCATCATCGAAGGTGACATTCCCCACATGTATGGCATTTCGGGTAGACTCCAGTCCCAGATATATCTCATAATTGGAAAACTCATCGGGAATGGTACAGGTCATATAGTTGTAATGATGTTTTAATCCTGTCATATTTTTGATGTACGAGTTGTCACTAGATATCAACTCATCACTTATTTTCGATGCATCTAGATACTTTTTATTATTTATATAAACAATGATTTTATTAGTTTCCCTGACAACATAAT